AAAAAAATGTGTTGGGGAAATGAAATAAAAATAGCAGAATTTTGAAAGGTACCACTCTTTATTTACATACTTAAAAGCTTCTGTAATAGGATTTTTAAATACATCACTTTCTTGTTTTTGCTATTCTCTCAGATTACTCTCCTTCCCCTCCTCTTCCCTGATCAAACTGCTCTGCACTCACCCACTCCCTTAATCCTATGTAATTTGGCACTTCGCCTTCCCACAACTTTACTTTCCCCACGGATCTGTAACAGTGACCTCATAACCAAGAAGTACAAGGATCGTTTCACCCTCTGAATATTCTTCAGCACTTAATATGTCAATCACTCTTTTGAAGCTGTATTCTCTCACTACTATGACACTGACCTTTCAGGCTCCAGGACTGGTGCTCTGAGTTTTTACGCTGTCTGCAACTGCTAGGGAAGGCAAAGCAGTATAGAAGGAATGAGCTTCAAAGCCTAATTCGGCTCTGCCCTCACTTGGAGACGACACCATCATAAGATTTAGGTAAGAGCAGCATTTCACCTAGCCCGTGGTCAACCCTCGATATATGATATTTGAAGAGTACTGGTTAAGAGTGCTGCAGGAAGCCATCCAGCTCTATCACCAACTACCTACGTGACACTGAGCAGGTTTCTTGACCTCTCCATACCTCAGTTCCTCATCTATGAAACTGAGAGAATAGTATCATCATCACAGGGTTGTTGTGGGAAGAAATGTCTTACTATGCATAAAGCACTCAGTAGGAGGCTCACAGCAGGGCTAGATACATCTTAGCTCTAGCTCAGGATGCCTAGGGGGTTAATTCCAGTTCTGTCACTTGTACAATGAAGAATTTGGCTGGCCTTTGTCTCCTGTTCTTGGAAGGTAGCCTCTAAACCCTTGGAATTTCCTAAATGATAGTGCTAATTTTGTTACTCATGTTGGGCCCTAACAGTTTAGCTAACAGGTGAGTCATGGTAGGCCCCTAGACACTTTATGCTAATGAGATGACTCAGCATGGGGGCAAACCATTCCAGACAGACAAAACACAAGTTTAGAGGGTTGAACCTTTGACTCCAGTGACTTAAACCTGGCCTCCAGGGAGGGGAGGAGTCAATAATCTAGTCAATCATGCCTACAGAAAGAAACACTAATAAAGACTCTCGATACATGAGTGCACTTCCCTGATTGGCAATATTCTGCCTATTGCCACAGATTGATGTATCAGTGGGTACAAGGTCCTGACTCCACAGGGAGAAGACAAGGAAGCTTTGGGTTAGGGACCCTCCTAGGCCTCACCGTATGCATCTCCCCCTTTTGCTGGTTTGGATTGTATCCTTTTGCTATAATGAAACTATAATTTTAAGCATAGTGCTATCCTGAATTCTATGAACCATTCTAGTGAAGTATGGAGCTCAAGGGGATCATGGGAACCCCTGAATTTGCAGCCAGTAGGTCAGAAGTAAGGGTGGTCCTGGGAACATCCAAACCTGTGACTGGTGTATGAAGTAAGGGCAGTCTTGTGGAAGACTGTGCCCTTATCCTGTGAACTTCGGCCTAACTCCAGGTAATTGCTTTTCTAAGTCACTGCAGGCATTATAGTGCCATGTGGATCCTATCATATCCCTCATCCCAACATTTCCTCAGTAACTCTTTTCAGGAGAATTAGTGATACGGTTCAGAGAGCTGAGCCAGGATCTGCGGACTTCAAGCCCCACATATAACAAACAGGGCTTCTAGGCCCTCAGCTAGTGGACCTTGCTCTCTGATTAGCCTCTCAGTGCAGATGAAAGGTGACTTGGAGCCAATGTCCCTTCCCTTCTCCTTGTGCAGGTAGACTCCTGCACATGTATGCACATGTGTGCACAGAAACCCATGTGTACACTTCGCTGTCTGGCTTGGACCAATGAGGGGACAGAGAGAGGCAGGGCCAAAAAGATACAGTAAAAGCAGGGACTGCAGCCTTAAGAGAGCAGCTGGGTCCAAATGGGTTATACTACCGACCAAAATCCTAGAGAAAAGAGTCAATAAGTGGGGAGGGAGGCATCAAGAAGAAACCAGCTCAGACCAAGAGGCCTGGCTTCAAGAAGTGGGGAGGGGTGACTGCTGGTGTGCTATCCAGCCAGCCCCTTTACCTGAGACCAATATCCTTCCAGACCTCAGGCTAAAGCCATTATTACAGCTCTTTTTCCTGCTCTCCAAACAGACAAACAATAGATAAGCATTACCAAAGACTATCTTCTCAACTCTATGCAAATGACCCCTAATTAAACCTAGTTCTGACTTCTGAGCCCTGAAGTCCAGGTTTTAGACAAACTGCCTATTGGATGGCCTGCCGATATCTCAAACTAAACACATCCAAAAGTGAATTAGTGAACTTTTGGGGTCCTCATCCTCCTCTTATGTATTTCTGTGCAGGGGCATCAGTATGCTCCCATTTGTCTATAGCCTTGCTTTTCACAATGTGGTATGGGAGCAGTAGCAGCAGCAGTATCAGCTGGGAGCTTGTCAGAAATGCAGAATCTTAGGTCTCATTTCAGATCTACCAAATCGGAATCTGCAACTTCACAAAACTCCCCACCCAGATGACTGCTAGGCACATTATAGTTCAAAAAGCTCTGATCCAAGACAGTCTCCCTAGCACTCCAAACCCTCAAGTAACGTGCCTGTCTCCAGTACTCATGACTCCACCACTGCTATAGTGCAGGTAGCAATCACTTGTTCTAGAACTACTGGTTTCGCTGGTCTAGATTCCAAACATTCCTCATGGTAACTCTCCCTCAGTTATGTTGTCAAATTCATGATTTTAAACCCTTCCCTCCTCAAAAATTCCCACTGGTTCCTCATTGCCTATTAAACCTCCAAGCTTACTAGTCAAGAAGAAGAAATAACACTTATTGTATGATCATTACATGCCAGGCATGTAAGTGTTTTTCATGTCTTAATTCATTTAATCCACCTAACAACCCTATGAACTAATTATTACTGTATCTTCATTCTATAGATGGAGAAACTGAGGCATGGAGAGGTTAAATGACAGAGCTGAGAATCAAACTTAGATAATCTGACCCCAGTGCACAAATTCTTAACCACTGTTTCATAGTGCCTCCCTAATTCAGTAGCTTTATTTTTTTAAGGCTTACCTCCTAAGGCTTCCCTGTACTTTAGCAAAAGTGATCTACCTGTTGTTCTATAAATATGTTAACACTTCCCAACTTCTGTACCCTCACCCTTGAGAGGTTGTGTAGTCTTAATGGAAATAATCTGGGCTTCAGAAGCAGACCTAGTTTCAAATTTTAGGCCTGGCCATTAACTAGTTCTAAGACCCTAGGGAAATCATCAAACCTCTCTGAGTCTCCTGTCCTCATCTGCAAGTAAAACACAGTTTAAAAACCACCTAAGTGAAATGGTTGCTGTGAAGTTTAGAAAAAATGCTGAGGATGTCTAGTACAATCCTGGCACACAGCAGGTGCTCAATCATTGACAGCTCTTACACTCACCTGAAATTTCAAATCCTACCCACCCTTTGAGACCCTCTCAAATATTACTTCTACTGCATAGCTTGCTTTGTCACCCCAAGTGGACATAATAGCAACTCCCTTTAAATTTTGTTAATATTTTATGTGTAACTCTTTCTGATTTACTACCTTATTTTACCATTGTACATTTGTCATAGTAGACTGTAGGCACCATAAGGGCAAGCCATTTGTATGCCCTAAAACAGCTAGCATAATGCACTGCATTGTGGGAGTTTAATAAACATTACTGAATAGAATTGGATTGGACATTGAGTAATGAATGACCAGAACCACTAAAATTAATTGGGGGAAAACATCATAAAAAAAGAGGTGGAACAGGAACTAAAACAGCTAAGCACTTGTAACTATGTCACTATACACTGTGTGTATAATAGCTCATTAGTAATCTCAATAATTCTGTGATGAGTTACTATCCCATTTTCCAAATGAGGAAACGGGTTGAGAGTGACTTCCTCAAGGTCACAATTGTTCCATGAGAACTTGGACCCACTCATTCTCTTTCATTGCTGCATCCCCAGTGCCTAAAGGAATGCCTGGAACATAGATGCTCAATGAATATTTGTTGAGTGAATGAAGAGATGAAAAAATAGTGCTAGTAAGTAGAACCAGGACTAGAAGCAATTTCACCTGACTCCCAGTTCAGTCCTCTGCTGTTAATTTGCCAATTTAAAAGAGGAAAGGGGTGTACCATTTATTAAACAACTGCGAAGAAACTGAACACCATTTGGGAAGAGGGATTTTAGAGCAGAACATTGAATAATTACACTCCTCAGTTCATGACACTGTGTTTGACACTTTAAATTATATCATTTCACCTTCCTAAAAACTCTTTTCGGCAGGTATTTTTATATCCATTTTATGGATGAAGAAACACTCCCCATGAAATGATTTGTCCTCTCATAAGAGGCAGAGCAGGTGATTCTAGCCCAGGTAATTTTAACTCCAAAACCTGTGTCCTTAAGTAATACTTGTACTTGCAATGGAATTCGTACCCCCTGTAGAGACAGGAGCGAGAGAGCATTATGAAGAGCACTGCGAGGAGCTGCAACACGGAGAACAGGGATTAAATCAAGACTACTGAGGTCATTGAACAAATCAATAATCAAGTTATAAGGTCCTATGGGAAACAGTCTCATTAATCCAAGAATGCTGTTACTCCGACAACAACTAGTGACAGAACTTGATAACATGAAGGGCAGCAGAAAAAAAGATAATTAAGAAATCACCTAAAGCTCGGCATTTACACAATGTACGGGAGGAGGACAAGCCCTGAGAGTATGAGGGAAGAAAGTGAATAGGAGTTTCACAAGAAGGCGTGGAAGGAACGAGGAGGGTAAAGAGGTTAGCCCTAAGAGCAGGTACAATGTTGAGACTGGTTCTGGCATCGGGTATAGGACGGGCCTACCGGGAGGAAGGAGTTCCAGCCTTCTCCGGCCAGGAAGCCCATCATCCGACTTCCTTAAGAGCACTCTGCCTCACCCTCAGTCCCTTTTGCCTCAGAACCCAAGCTCACCAGGGGCCTGGGCGATGTTGTTCCCGGGTCTCCTGAAGACTCGGCCGCTTTCGCCATCTTGGCCCTCCTTCTCCCGGGTCGCTCCCACAGGCCTTTGCGGAACCTGAGACGTGTCGGCCACGGCTGGTCAGCGCGTCATCGCGCGGCGGCCGCGTCACCTAAAGGCGCCTGACAGCGGCTGCCGGTGCGGTCGTGTTGCCGTCTCCGTCCTCCTGGTGTCCGGGACAGGGGAGAGTTGTCGCGCCTCGCTTCGCTTCTTAGGGACCACAGGTCCCGTTAGACGTGCCCCCCTTTTCATACTCGACCCCGATCCTGGGATCGCTCCACGGCTGCGTTTTCTTTTAATCCACCGCACTCGCGCACCCGTTTGTCGCTCTCAGGGCGGGTCTGCAGAGCTAACACTTCACGGAAAAACCTGCTCCTCCACGGGCGGCAGAACAATTTCGCGGTTTCGTGCTCCTGAATAAAGCGATCAACTCCTCCTGACCAGCCGCTCCCTCTGCCGTCGCTCCTGCTTGTCTGATTCTTTGCGCATTCCCCTCATCCCACACTCCCCTCGCTACCAGCCTTTTTCCACTTCTCGTTTTTATAAACTATACAAGATTACTTTTCTTTCTCCCTCACCCCCTTTGAGGAGGGGCTAAGCTAGCTTCTCTGTATACGTTGGCCAAAATGTCAATCTCACTACAACTTCTAAAATTGCTAAGTGATTTGGAGCAAGTACTAAAAATGTTTAATGTCTAAAAGAGGATGATTATTGTAGGAATAACAAAACAAACAAAAACAAAAAACAAAAACTCGGCGTGTCCCAACCTATTTTCCCTACCTAATTCTGGGTCTTTCTCACTCCACTTTACCTCGGCCCCAGGTTAAAATGCGATCAGGAAATACAGTCATTTTTGATGCAAGAAGGATTCAGGGTATCTTGAGTGTCCTTTGGTGGTGTGAATATCAGGTTTCCCCCGCTTTTAACAGGGTAGGGATGGGTGTGTAATAAAGTGCTTTATGTTTTTATATAGGCAATCCAGAAAGAAATCAAGTCTTAAATTTAAGAAGAAAGAATATGGAATACGGTGGGACAAAATTCTCAAATAAATGGTGGGGTATGTGTGTGTAGGGGACTTGTTGTGTGGTTTTCTTTTGTTTAAATATTCTCATAATTCTTCAGATCCAGCACATTTTCAATACTTGCTCAGGTACTGATGGGAGCGATCTTAAAATTGAGACAGTAGAAATGAAACATTTCCTGAAACATCTTTTAAAGATTTCATTTATTTGACGTAGAGCAGAGTGAGCAGGAGTAGCAGGGCAGAGCGAAAGGAAGATGCAGGCTCCCCGCTGAGCAGGGATCCCAAGTGGGACTGATTCCAGGGCAGGGTCATCTTGACCTGAGCTAAAGGCATATGCTTAATGACTGAGGGGCTCAGGCTGTCCCTGAAACATTTTTTTTCCCCTCAAGAGAATATTGTGTACAATTCCCCACCCAGCTTGGCCACCCACTCTATCCCTCCCACTTCCACCCAGTCCAGATTTCTGGTACTTGTTATCGGGTTACCAAGTCCTTTCCCGCTTTCCTGAGGCTGTTGATAATCTCTTCTGTTTCCTTGCCAACCTCCAAAATTAGTTATCTCTCCCTAACCCCAAGCTCCAACTTCTGCAACCTACCCTCATCTCTTGACCTCTTTGCTACTGGTTTCAGGATGGCCTTGATGCTGGGTTAAGAAGAGGACAGACCAGAAAACAATTGTTAAGGCAGTCAGTGTTCAGGTTACCTAGGCATTATTTCAGTCTCAAATGTCAGTTTTCCTCATTTAACTAATAGGGTACAGGTTAAATATGAGGTAATACGCTATGAAGGAAAAAACTCAGAAAGGTTGTAGAGGAAGATGATGGCATAGGGACAAGCTCCTAAAATAGGAATTATTTTATGTTTTTAGTTGCAAATATATCTTACAAAATTGCCAAACTCGGTATTCTTTTTTTTTTTAGTTTATTTATTTATTTGACGAACAGAGATCACAAGTAGGCAGAGAGGCAGAGGCAGGCAGAGAGAGAGAGGAGGAAGCAGGCTCCCCGCTGAGCAGTGAGCTGTTGTGCGGCTTGATCCCAGGACTCTGGGATCATGACCTGAGCCTAAGGCAGAGGCTTTAACCCACTGAGCCACCCAGGTGCCCCAAATCGTGGATATTTTCAATAGACCAGTTTACATTTGATTTTTTATTCCATAAAATTACATTCACACCTTTAGCATGTGTCCAAATTGTAATTTTGTACCAAAGAAATATTTTGATAATTTATTTTTAATACTTGTACATTTGTCCATATTATTCAAGTTGATTCATACTTTCCCCCAAATTTTGCTATGAAAATATCCAAATATATAGAAAAGTTGAAAGAATAGTACAGTGAGCCCCCATATACACACTACCTCGATTTCTACAATTCACACTTTGCTATTTCTGCCTCATAACATCTCTATCTAACTACCCATCCAACAACTCTTCCATAGGCCTACGACAGAAAGTGAGATATAGCACAGCATAGACAAGTGCTTATCTGTTCAACCTGGCAGAATGGAGGGCTGAGAGGATGTGAGACAGGGCATGAGAGGAAGATGCCTAGTCTAAACACAAGATGATGGACATCTGAAAAATAGTGGTGGCGGCAGTAGGAAATGCCAAGGGAGAATTTTGCTTTCGCTTTCCTTTTTTCTTTATTTTTATATTTGCACTTATAAAAAGAGGCAACTTAGTGAAGCGAATAAGAACACAAACTCTGGAACCAGAAAACTTGGGTAGGAAGCTCAACTCCACCATTTACTTATTTACTTTTTACTTGACTTTTGTCAAGTTACTAAACCTCTCTGTGCCTCAGACTCGGCATCTGTAAAATGGAGAAAAGAACAATAGCTGCCTTATAGAGTCTTAAGGACTATGAGTTAAATGGTAGTTAGTTTTTTTTAAGATTTTATTTATTTACTTGAGAGAGAGAGCATGAGAGGGGAGAGGGTCAGAGGGAGAAGCAGACTCCCTGCTGATCTGGGAGCCAGATGAGGGACTCAATCCCCAGACTCCAGGATCATGACCTGAGCTGAAGGCAGTCGCTTAACTAACTGAGTCAGCCAGGCACCCTAAACAGTAGTTATTAATACTTAAAATAGAAATACATGTTTGTTGTAAAAAATCAAAATACATAAGTATATAAAACACAAAGTGTCCTCTATCTGTTAGGATGCTTTTGTTTTCAAGTGAAAGAAAATCAAGCCACAGTCAGTGAGGCATTGGACATGGATGGAATATTGAGATAGGAAGTCTTGGGCTCAGGCAGTTGGAAGGTGACACAAAACTATTCCGTCAGCAATGTCAGGTCAAGGGGTTGAAGGAAACTGAAGAGTGGAATACAAAGCAGGTAAACTGAGTAGTGTGTGTTAGTATCTAGCTAGCCAAGGAAGAGTATTCCTCCCCTTACCTCCTTTGGTTATTCCTTCCGCCTCTTATTCTGATCCTTCACTATCTTGCTTATTAGCAGCAATGTCCTCCTCTTTTGTAGCTAGGAAGAAGGAGGACATGGGACTGCTGTGAGAGAATTTCTTGGCTCAGTGGACAAAAAGAACTAAAAATGTAGAATGTCTGCTCAATGTTTGTTCTGAATAAGTTCATCTGAAAAGTGTACTTTTCAAAAGTGAACAAAACCTTTGCAATTAGACTTTCATTAAAATTACACACAGAGCAAAGAGCAATGTGTCTGCTGGACCACACATTTCTTTTTCCCACCCTTTACCAACATCTCTTTTTCAAAAATGGAGGTTGTAAATAAGGAAAGGAGGAGGAAGGATGGGAAAGGAAAAAACAATTTAAGGAGTGTGGAACAGCTTTGCTTCCCTTTCTTTAAGTAACCTGCAATATGAAAACACCATTTGGAGGGCAAGAACTCATCCTTCTTATGGTTGTGTAACATTCCACTACATGTATCTCAACGAGCACTTAGGTCACTTCAATGTCTTGGCTACTAAATAATGCTGCAATAAGCATAGAAGTGCATATATCTTTTCAAATTAGTGTTTTCATTTGCTTTTGGTAAATACCCAGTAGTGCAATAACTGGATCGTATGGTATTTCTATGTTTAATTTATTGAGGATCTTCCACAAGTCTTACCAGAGTGGCTGCACTAATTTACATTCCTACCAACAGTGCATGAAGATTCCTTCTTTTCCATATCCTTGCCAACACTTGTCTTTTTGAGATTAGCCCTTCTGACAGGTGTGAGGTAATATCTCATTATGGTTTTAATTTGCATTTCTCTGATGAATAATGATATGAAACAGCTTTTCATATATCTCTTGGCCAACTCTATGTCCTCTTTACAAAAATGTTTATTCAAGTGTCTGCCATTTTTAAATCACATTATTTGTGAGGTTTTCTGGTGTTGAGTTGAATAAATTTTTATATATTTTTGAATAGTAAGCCTTTATTGAATTCATCATTTGCAAATATCCTCTCCCATTCAGTAGGTTGCCTTTATGTTTTGTTGGTTTCCTTTGCTGTGAAAAGCCTTTTATCTTGATGTATTCCCAACAGTCTATTTTTGGTTTTGTTTTCCTTGCCTTAGGAAACATGCTTAGAAAAATGTGGCTACAGCTGATGTTAGAGAAATTACTTCTTGTGTTCTCTTCTAGTACTTTTATGGCTTCGTGTCTCACATTTAGGTTTTTAATGATTTGTAGTTTATTTGTGTGTATGGTGTAAGTAAGTGGTCCAGTTTAATTCTTTGCATGTCATTGTCCAGTTTTCCTATTGGATATTTTTGCCTCCTTTGTTGCAGATTGAAAATCTAAGCATGGGTTTATTTCTGGGCTCTTTAGTCCGTTCCATTGATGTATGTGTCTATTTTTGTGCCAGTACAATACAGTTTTGATTACCATAGCTTTGACTACAAAGCTATGGTAATCAAAACAGTATTGTACTGGCATCTTGAAATCTAGGACTACAATACCTCCAACTTTGTTCTTCTTTTTCAAGATTGCTTTGTGGTTCCATACAAATTTTAAGATTATTTGTGGGGTGCCTAGGTGGCTCAGTGGGTTAAGCCTCTGACTTTGGCTCAGGT